ACTACTACTACTACTACTACTACTACTACTACAGCTACTACTACTACTACGACGACGACTACTACTACTGCTACGACGACGACGACGACTACTACTACTACTACAACACGACGAAAACAATCCAAAGGCTACCATCACCACCACCACTACTATGACGACGCCTACCAGGACAACACCACCACTACTACTACCACTGCCACTGCCACTACCACTACTACTACCTACAACCACTACTACGACGACTACTGCTATCACAATCTTGTGGAACCTCTTCCACACCCTAGAAACAAAAGCTGGAGCCCCGTGGTTGGCTTTTGGGACTCTCCGCTCTAAAGGTGTTGCTGTCTCCACCCCCTCCTAAAAACAAAGACTGCAGCCCCGTTGTTGTTTTATGACACCGGCACCCCCGGAACAACACCTCAAACACATTAAAGACAAGCCAACCTAGACTTCAGTGAAACGAGTCCAACAAGTCCAGCTACGTACGAAGCCAACATTCCACCGTATCCCTAACCTTGTTCCTTTGAAGTTCCAGAGTAACAACATGTGATGACTATGCTGGGCGGCTGTTTTTGGTTCTACTTTGTTGCTGTTATTGTTGTTGTGTTTTGTTTTCATGTTTTTTTGCCTAAAAGGTCTTGAGGTTTGAGGTACATGTTGGAGAGAAGGAAGTTATGCGGTGGTGGCATGAATAGATGAGCCTTTGGATAGAAAAAACAAAGAAATACAGCCAAGCTGAGCCTATGCGGAGTAGTGTCTTCCACAAGTTCTATCTCACACCTCCAGGTGGCCAAGCAGACCTTAGGCATCCAAAACGTGGCCGGCACTCCGAGTGGTAACTGGGGTCGGGGAGCCGATGCATAGTGGACATCCTGTAGTTGAAGAGACCCTTGTTACCTTCATGCAATTGCAAGGAGGTGTAGTTGAACTGCTAGCAAATTAGTTTTTTGTTTTACTTAGTCAAGCATTCAATTCAAAGTAGGGGTCATCATGCGCTTTGGTGAGGGTGCCTTCAGTCATGCGACCGC